TTCAAAATAGTGCAGTCTTTAAACACCAGAGAACAAGTGTGAATATCCTACACTGATTAGAATTCACAGACGAGATTCGCGTTAGGAAAAGTAACCACACAATTCGGCATTGTTATGGGAACCTTGTCGAGTGAGATCACACTTTAATCACATGAGAATCAACCAAAGCGAACTTACATCAACAGCAATGCTGTTGGTGGCAGTGAGCACCCAAGGGTGGGAAATGCATTAAAAGTACCATCTTGAAATGGTATAAAAGAGGTGATATGTTGTGCACAAGAGGTGACTTCACAATGGAAGTGAGTGACGGGGAATTAGAGGCGGCACTGTCATCAAGCACGAATGCTCGAGAGTACTTGATTAAGCTCCTTGAACTGGTTGATCCTGACATGGTGAAACATCTGCAGGCATGTTTAGAGGAAGGGGCATGTCATGGAGAGCAGAGTTTTTCTGTGGAAGATTGCAGTGTTGAATTTGAACCCACTGTTGATTCCGAATGCCAATACCTAACAGATCAACTTACAAGTACGAAAATCGATTTATGGTCGTCCTGTCCACCTGATCCAGGTTTTAACTGTGATGAAGTCAGCTACTGTCTTCTTCATCTTGCACGTATGGTGCGTCCCGATCTGGCCGATCTTCTGGATCAAATCAATTTTTGCAATCAACAGGTATCTTCTCGCCCCAATTCAGCACTTACTGCTCAACGATCTACTTTACCCAAATCTCATCTTAAACCTTATCTCTTCAAGCTCATTCAAAATTTCGACCCTGAGTTAGCCGAGTGCCTGGGAGAATGCTCTTGATATTTGTAAATTGTCAAAATAAATCATTTACCCACGAGCACCCAATCTCATTTATTTCTGCATATTTGCATGGAAGTCCATTTAACACCTTTAATTATATCAAATAGGAGGTAATCCTATCGAATAAATAATATGCAACCTTTGTTTTAATTCCCTTTCAAGTTAACGGGCTCACTGATTCTATCAATTTGTCACAAACATCCACTCGTTGGAAGATTACTAGCATGCGCAAAATGAAAGATGGGTTCAGGAGACCGAAACAAATCAAATCTAGTGACATCCGATGTTTCCTGTGCTTCAGGTGCACTATGGAACTTTGCAATGAGGACCGAACCCTTGCAGTGATTCGATCAAAAAGTGAAATTAAATCATTTCTTTGAGGGACTCCATTCCAAATGACAAATGAAATAAGATCCATTTCATGACCACCTAGCAAGATTGGCTCAATCAGAATGCGAGTCGTGATTCTGTGGTTGCTTCCTTATACTCTGTGTTGAGACATTTTGC